TCCTCCTCCTCCTCCTCCTCCTCCTCCTCCTCCTCCTCCTCCTCCTCCTCCTCCTCCTCCCCGTCAAACGCTGCGTAGCCACATGGGGAGCTCCACTTGAGGCCCCAGTTGTTGCGTCCACATTCGACCCCCCGCCAATTTCGGCACACCTTCACACATGTTCGTGTCCCCCTCCGCGTCGGGATGTGTGGACCCAGATCTTTGATTTTGGCAGACCAGCGGGAGGGGGGGGGAGTGTGTGGTACAAAGATTATTGCATGCAGCGGGTTGCGGCCGTCACATTTGTGTAACGGCGCCAGTGGGTCTAGGTTTTTGGTCCAACCCACCGAACCGTTAAAGGGGTACATAGCGGTTGAGAATTTGAACGGGGATCCAGCCGTGGCGACAAGAGGCCTGCAGGAGGCCCGAAAGATGTGAAGGACGCCGAAGAGAACCTCGCCCTGCGATTCTCGACCCCGAGCCAGGCGAGGAAATACCCAGCGGTGTCGCCGCTCGCCGCCGCCGTCGCCGTCGTCGCCGCGGCCAGCGGTGCCGCCGCGGCCTTCCTCGCCAGCGCGGCGACGGCCAGCGACGACGCACGCCGGCGGAGGCGACGGCCCGGCCGAGGAGATGCCAAGCGGTGCCGCCGCGGCCTTCCTCGCGAGCGAGGCCAGCGGGGTGGCCCGGCGCGCAGGCGTGCAGCTGCGGGCGCCGCCCGGTTCGCCTCCCACGCTGGAGATCTTGGGGCCCCTCGCGGCCGTCGCCACGGCCAGCTACCTGGTCCAGGTCCGCTTGTCTGGGCCTCCCAAATAGGGTCCGAGCAGGTGTGATCGGAGGATCGCGCCGCATCGCCGATGCATCGCCGACGTATCGTCGATGCATCGGCGACGTTTGCGATGCATCTGCGACGTCGGCGTGCAGAAAGTCGGATTGGACATCGAGCCGCATCGGCGATGGATCAGCGATGCGGCGCGATCCCCCGACCCCATCTACTCGGACCCAGTCTGGGAGACCTCTAACTTTGGAGGGGGCCGAGGACAGAGGAGAGAATAATTGCTCAAAGCGATGAGACCCGAGAAAAAACAATCATAATCTCTGTAGGGCTATAGGTCTATGGGGCTTTAGGCCCATATGGCTTCAGGTCTATAGGGCTGTAGGGCCATAGGGCCATAGGGCTATAGGGCTTCAGGGCCAGGGTTATGGGGCTCTGGGGCTATGGAGCTGTGGGGCTATAGGACCATAGGGCTATGGGTCTATAGGGCCCTGGAGCGATAGGGCTAGAGGACCATAGGGCTGTAGGGCTATAAAGCTATAGGGCTATAGGCATATAGAGCTATAGGGCTATGGGGCTACAAGGCTATAAGGCTATAGGGCTATGGGGCGATTGAGCGATTGGGCTACTGTATAAGGCGATTGAGTGATTGGGCTACAGGGCTATAGGACCATAGGGCTATAAGGCGATGAGGCTATAGAGCTATACAGCTGTAAGGCTATAGGGCTAGAGGGCTATTGGGCCATAGGGCTATAAGGCGCCTAGGCACCCGGGCACCCGGGCACCCGGGCGTGCCGCCGAAATCGGCTGCGCACCTAGCCAAATCAGACGAATCCGCTAGGACCCCCACAGAGGCAAGCTCTGATTGGGAAATCATTAGCACTCGGAGGTCCGCGCATATTTTTGGGCAGGCGCTGGCGGCGCGCTCGCGCGCGCCAGGGATGGGGACAGGTTGCTGGTGCGGACTCGGCATCGTCGCGCGGACCCTCGCAGCCATGCGTATGCCGATGTCTTGCTCTTCAATAGGAGAGTCGCGGTTCGAGGTGCCGAGGAGTGCCGAGGAGGGTCCTTCAAGGAGGGTCGAGGAGCGTCGAGGATCCGGGGGGAGACCGCAGAGAGCACCCAATAGGGTACCGAAGCGGGTACCGAGGAGGGTACAAGGAAGGGTACCGAGGAGGGCACCGATGATGGTCAAGGGAGGTCGAGGAAGGTCCTTCGAGGAGGGTGCCGAGGAGGGTCAGTCGAGGAGGATGTTCCTCCCTTCTTTCGCAGGCCTGGAGCACCATGGGTGCGAATACCGAGGATCGATGTTCTTGGTCATGCTCGGGCTTCTCGAGAGCTTCAGAGGCCTGGCTCGATCTGGCCCAGCCCCTCCCCTTGTCTTGGACCGAGGTTTTGGGAGGTCCAGGCCGAGGGTCGAGGACCTGAACGCTTCTGGTGGCCCCATCTGCGACGGGCATCCGGAGCCCCCCCCCCCGAAGGCCTCCAGCAGAGGCTTCCGCGTGGGTCTTCCAGGGCGGGGTGGGGCCTCTGTCTCTTCGCCCCTCTCTCTCTCTCTCTCTCTCTCTCTCTCTCCCTCCGTAGCCTCTGGCTCGGGCAGCTCGGGCCCCAGGCGCGCCTCCGCGCCGCTGCTCCGAGGGCGCGGGGGTGCTCGCAGGGCCGTGCCCCCTCCGCCCGCGGGGCCCTGCCCGCGGCCCTCTGGCCCCATGTCTGCGGCCTCCGCCGGCGCAGCCTCCCGCCTGAGCGGCTCGGCGGGCAGGCCGGAGTCCCCCCGGGAGGCGCCGCCCGCCGCGCCGCCGCCCCTGGACCCCGGCGTCTGGAGCACGCTGCACGGGCGCGGCGCCGCCGAGGCCTCGAGGGCAGCACGGGCCCACCCCCGCCCCCGCGCGCGTGTGCAGTCGGCACTGCAGGGTGCTTGCTACCCCTCGCGGGGGCGCCGGCCGAGGCCGCGCGCGGCGCGGCGCCCACTGTCGCAGCGCACCTGGGGGTCGGCTGGCTTGTGCGAGCGCAGAGGACGTGACGTCTCACGCGCGCACAAGATGCCCACCCCCAGCAGGGTCATCCAGGATGTGCTGGCTGGGGGTGGGGGCGGGGTGTGCTGTCCTCAGAGGTGCTGGAGGGCTTCAGCTGGCACCTCCCGCCCGCCAACAGACCGCCAGACCTGGATCCCGACATCCGGACGTGGCTCTTCGGCGACCGCGATGAGCAGACCCGCGTGCTGCGGCGGGAGGTGCAGAGCCTGCGGGAGCAGCTGGGGCGGCGGGAGACGGGCTGGGCGGGCGAGCAGCCGGGGTCCTTGGCGTACGGTCGCGGGCCGGCGGCGGCGGTCGCGGACGCGCCGCCCATGTGGCAGCCTTCGGCGCACGCGCCGGGGTATGGACCACTCCCGCAAGCAATGCCACATGCCATGCCGCATGCCATGCCGCAGCTGATGCCGCAAGCAGTGCCACAGACGATGCCGCAGATGATGCCGCAGGTGGTACCGCAGGGAAGGCCAAACGTACCCCAGAACAGACGTACCCTGGAGAGGGTGCCTCGGGGCCCACCTCAGGACGCCCAACCGATGCGTTTTGGCGCCCACTGTGGCTGGAACCGTGGCCGTTGCGACACCTCACTGGGGGTACGTCGTCCTGGGGGCACGTTTGGCCTTTCCCACGGTAACGCAGGTGATGCCGCCGATGATGCCGCAGGTGCTGCCTCTGGGGGCCGCAGATCCCATGCAGGCGGAGCTGCAGCGCGGGATAGTGCAGCAGATGCAGCAGATGCAGCAGGTGTTGCAGTCGCAGCTCATGGACTCGCTGGGCACCGGTGGGTCGAGGCAGCAGAAGGAGAAGGAGGAGGAGCAGCGGCAGGAGCACGAGGCGCGGATCCTCGAGCTGGAGGCGCAGAGCGAGAGGCGGCAGCTGGAGCTCGAGGCGAGGCTGAAGGAGGCCGTCCAGGAGGCGGAGGCTGCGCGGAGGGCCATCGAGGCGGAGCAGCGGGAACGCGAGCGCGTGGAGCGCGACCGCGCTGATGCGGACGTCCCCACGAACGTGGCATGGACAGTCGACACGAGCGACTGGCCCCAGCCGGAGGCGGAGGAGGCGGAGGCCGTGGGCTCTCCGGCCAAGGCCTGGGAGACGGGGCGGCAGCGGATGCTCTGGTCGCAGCGGCAGGCTCAGCTCGCGTCCGCCGGGCCCCGGCGCAGCGCCCCCGCCTCGCCCCCGCCCTCCGCCTCCGTCGCGGACGTCGCGGCGGCGGCCGCGGCCCGCGCGCCCCCCTCGAGGCTGTCGCAGCTGGCCTCGCCGCGGTCCCCCGCGAGCCCGCCACGGGCCGGGCCCCGGGGCCCCGCCATGGTGCTGCCGCTCACGGCCTCGCAGGGAGAGTACTCCACGTGGGTCGTCCGGACGGAGCTCAGGGGAGGAAAAGCCACCCGGACCGGACACTCGGCGCTTCCTAAGCTATAACGGCCTCTGGCGTTTCCGGGACAGCCCTGCCCTGTGGGCGCGTGTGCTGAACGACTTTGCGCGCCGGGGTGGTCTTTCTGGGGGTCGATTTCCCAGAGATCCGATGTCGTGATTTTTTCAATACGCGGTCCCCCGAAGTCTCGACCCATTCCCCAGGACCGGTTTCTCATCCCGAGTCGTTTTTTGACGGTCCCGGGGCCCGGCGAGGGCCCCTAGAGGCCGAAAATCGAGAAAAACTTTCGTCTTGATTTTTTCAATGCGTTGGAGGTCTGGGACCTCTAGGAGCCGCCGCGCCCGCCGCCCCGGCGCGGCGCCTCCTTTGCCGGGACGCTGCCGGAGGCGCCGCGGCCGGCCTCGGCCGCCGAGGGGCGCGAGCGGATGCTGCGGGCGCGCGAGGCGGCCGCCCAGGCCGCCCAGCAGGCGGCGCTCGCGCGCCCCGCGAGCCCCGCGAGCCCCGCGAGCCCCGCGAGCACCGCGAGCCCGCGGGCCCGCGAGCCTCGCTGGGCGGCCGCCCGAGCCGAGCGGAGCAGGTCGGGGGCTGCTGAACCCAGAGATCCACCGCATTGACAAAATCAAGACGGGAGGTTTTTTTCTCTGCTTGCGGCCTCTAGGGGCCCTCGCCGGGCCCCAGGACCGTCAAGAAACGACTCAGGATGAAAAACTGGGCCTGAAGAATGGGTCGAGACTTCGGCGGACCGCGCATCGAAAACATCACGGCATCGGATCTCTGGGAAGGTGCCCCTGGCCCCAGGGGTGCCCCCGGGGTGCCCCCAGCTGCTCGCTCCAGAGGCGAGCCCCATGGGGCCCTCCGGGCCTCGTGGGGGGGTGCTCTGGAGGCAGAGGGGGACCTCCCTGGAAATCCTGGGGGCGTTCTGGACAAGGGGCACTTCCAGCAGCACCCGAGCAGGGGGGGCACGAGCCCCCGGCCCGGGGCTGGCGGCCAGGAGTCGCCGCGCCCGCGGGCGGCGGCGGCCGAGCGGCGAGCGCTGGCCGACCGCGCTCTGTCGCTGTGGCAGGCGGACGCGCAAAACGAGCAGGAAGGGCAATGGCCCCGGCGTGGCCTGGAGGCAACGCAATGGGATACGATGCAGCGCAAGGCACGCACGGCGTTGCACGGGCTGGCATATCGTGGGCCATGGGATAGCGGCACTGCGTGGCATCGAGATGCGAAGTTGGGCACAGCACGGCGTGTCACGGCATGCGTAAGTATTCCCTCATCCGCTCTTTGCTGATGCCGCTGGAATGCTCTGCTGTGCTGTACAGACCTAAACTCCGCGACGCGAGCCGAAGCAGATCGGGACAAGGACCCCCCCGGGAACCCCGAGGAGCACAGCCCCCCGACAAACTTCCGAGACCCCCCCCCCCCGGGAACCCCGAGGCGAGGCACTCCTGGGGACCCAGCGGGAGGGGAGACGCTCGCCGCCCCGCTGGCGGGCGTCCTTCCGTACGGGGCGTGAAAACGACCACAGCCATTGCTTTTCTTTTGTTGCCGCCTTCCAGCCAGCAGAAACAGAGCAGTGGTTGTGGTCATCTTCGCTAAGCTTGGCACCAGGGAACTGACCACACCCACTGCTTCTTCTTCGGCCGGCTGGAAGGTGGCGCAAACAACAAGCAGTGGCTGAGTTCGCAGGACGTACTTTCTGCGACTGGTGACCGTGGTCATTGGTGGATGTCATCGGTTGTTAATCCTTCATTACCATTGCTGCGTGGACAAAAATATAAAAAAAAATAACAAAACTATATATATATATATATAAACAAAACAAAAAAATGGCTGTGGTCACTTTCCAGCCCCGCACTCCGACACCGCGAGCGAGGCCCGCAGCCGACCTTTGTGGCACTCGGTCGGGGCGGCCCTCTGCCCGTGCCGCCTATACGGAGCCCCGTGTCGGCCGTGGCCGTCTTGGCTCAGCGCCGGCCGCGCGATGCCGGCGGCGGCGGCGCCGAGAGGTCGGGCGCTGCGTAGTGTGGGGGGGTGGTATATTTCCCCGCCCCGAATCATCCGGGGTAACTCGGGTCAGGGATAACTCGGGTTCCTTTTTCGGGAATCCAAACCCGAGTTACCCCCCTGACCCGAGTTACCCCGGATAACTCGGGCGTCCAGAGCCCCGAATCATCAGGGGTAACTCGGGTCAGGGATAACTCGGGTCCTTTTTCGGGAATCCAAACCCGAGTTACCCCGGACCCGAGTTACCCCGGATAACTCGGGCGCCCAATCGTAGAAGAATCAGGACGGGAGGTTTTGGGCTACTTCCGGCCTCGTGGGGCCCTCGCCAGGCCTCGGGGCAGTCAAGAACGATTCGGGGGAAACACCGGTCCCGGGGAAATGGTCGGGGCTTCCTGAAAAAATCCAGGACGTCGCATGTCTGGGTGGGGGAGTGTGGGACAGGGTGTACCTCTCGTGCCGAAGCGCCAAGCGGGGCACGAAAAGTGCACGGTTTCCCCCCCCACAAGCATCGGGTGTTGCTGGAAATGCCCTTGGCCCAAGGTGCCCAAAGGTTTTCCAGGGAGGCCCCCACGGCCTCCAGAGCACCCCTCACGAGGTCCAGAGGGCCCGGGGGCTCCAAACTTGAGCGGGAGGCTGGGGGGCACTTTGGGCCAGCGGGCACTTTCAGCAACCCGCCGATAGTATCTCAGGAGGGGAAGAATACACACAGACACAATTGATCGCCGACTCCCAGGAAAAGATGGGAAAACATATGGGAAGTGGGGGGAAGACGAACATCCAGAAAATATGAAAAAGTACAGGGAATCCTGGATTTGTGTGTATGCGTTTGTGCGTGGTGTGTGTGTGTGTCTGTGTGTGTGCCTGAGTGTGTGTGTGTGCGTGTGCGTGTGTGTTTGTGTGTGTGTTGTGTGTGTGATGTGGTGTGTGTCTTTTGTGTGTGTGTGTTGTGTGTGTTTCTGTTCTCTGTGTGTCTCTGCGTGAGTGTGTGCGTGCTCTGCGTTCGTGTGTCGCGTGCGTCTGCCGTGTCTCTGTGTCTGCGTGTGTGCGTCTGTGTGCGTCTGTGTGTCTGTCGTGTGTGTGCGTGTGTGCGTCTGTGCGTCTGTGTGTCTCTCTGTGTCTCTCTGTGTCTGTCTGTGTCTGTCTGTGTGCTCTGTGTCTCTCTGTGTCTCTCTGTGTCTCTCTGTGTCTCTCTGTGTCTCTCTGTGTCTCTCTGTGTCTCTCTGTGTCTCTCTGTGTTTCTCTGTGTCTCCTCTGTGTGTCTCTCTCTGTGTGTCTCTCTGTGTCTCTCTGTGTCTCTCTGTGTCTCTCTGTGTCTCTGTGTCTCTGCGTCTCTCTGTGTCTCTCTGTGTCTCTGTGCGTGTCTCTGTTTGTCTCTGTGCGTCTGTGCTCTGTGCGTCTGTGCTCTGTGCGTCTGTGCGTCTGTGCGTCTGTGTCGTCTGTGTCTCTCGTCTGTCTCTCTGTGTCTCTCTGTGTGTCTCTGTGTGTCTCTGTGTGTCTCTGTGTGTCTCTGTGTGTCTCTGTGTGTCTCTGTGTGTCTCTGTGTGTCTCTCTGTGTGTCTCTCTGTGTGTCTCTGTGTGTCTCTGTGTGTCTCTGTGTGTCTCTGTGTGTCTCTGTGTGTCTCTGTGTGTCTCTGTGTGTTGTCTCTGTGTGTCTCTGTGTGTCTCTGTGTGTCTCTGTGTGTCTCTGTGTGTCTCTGTGTCTCTGTGTGTCTCTGTGTGTCTCTGTGTGTCTCTGTGTGTCTCTGTGTGTCTCTGTGTGTCTCTGTGTGTCTCTGTGTGTCTCTGTGTGTCTCTGTGTGTCTCTGTGTGTCTCTGTGTGTCTCTGTGTGTCTCTGTGTGTCTCTGTGTGTGTCTCTCTGTGTCTCTCTGTGTGTCTCTGTGTGTCTCTGTGTGTCTCTGTGTGTCTCTGTGTGTCTCTGTGTGTCTCTGTGTGTCTCTGTGTGTCTCTCTGTGTGTCTCTGTGTGTCTCTGTGTGTCTCTGTGTGTCTCTGTGTGTCTCTGTGTGTCTCTGTGTGTCTCTGTGTGTCTCTGTGTGTCTCCGTGTGTGTGTGCTCTGTGTGTCTCTGTGTGTCTCTCTCTGTGTGTCTCTGTGTGTCTCTGTGTGTCTCTGTGTGTCTCTGTGTGTCTCTGTGTGTCTCTGTGTGTCTCTGTGTGTCTTTGTGTGTCGTCTCTGTGTGTCTCTGTGTCTCTCTGTGTGTCTCTGTGTGTCTCTGTGTCTCTGTGTGTCTCTGTGTGTCTCTGTGTGTCTCTGTGTGTCTCTGTGTGTCTCTGTGCGCCTCTGTGTGCCTCTGTGTGCCTCTGTGTGTCTCTGTGTCTCTCTGTGTCTCTCTCTCTGTGTCCTCTGTGTGTGTCTGTGTGTCTCTGTGTCTCTTGTGTGTCTCTGTGTGTCTCTCTGTGTGTCTCTCTGTGTCTCTGTGGGTCTCTGGTGTGGTGTCTCTGTGTGTGTCTGTGTGTGTCTGTGTGTCTCTGTGTCCTCTCTGTGTGTGTGTGTCTGTGTCTGTGTGTCTTTGTCTCTGTGTGTCTCTGTGTGTGTCTCTCTGTGTCTCTGTCTCTCTGTGTCTCTCTGTGTCTCTGTGTCTCTCTGTGTCTCTCCGTGTCTCTTTGTGTCACTCTGTGTCTCCCTGTGTCTCTCTGTGTCTCTCTGTGTCTCTCTGTGTCTCCGTGTGTCTCTCTGTGTCTCTCTGTGTCTCTCCGTGTCTCTTTGTGTCTCTCTGTGTCTCTCTGTGTCTCTCTGTGTCTCTCTGTGTCTCTCTGTGTCTCGCTGTGTCTCTATCTGTGTCTCTCTGTGTGTCTCTCTGTGTGTTTCTCTCTGTGTCTCTCTCTGTGTCTCTCTCTGTATCTCTCTCTGTGTGTCTCTCTCTGTGTCTCTCTGTGTGTCTCTCTCTGTGTCTCTCTCTGTGTCTCTCTCTGTGTCTCTCGCTGTGTGTCTCTGTGTGTGTCTCTCTGTGTGTCTCTCTCTGTGTCCTTCTGTGTGTCTCTGTGGGTGTGTCTCTCTGTGTGTGTCTCTGTGTGTGTCTCTGTGTTGTCCTGTGTGTATCTGGTGTCTCTGTGTGTCTCTGTGTGTCTCTGTGTGTCTCTGTGTGTCTCTGTGGTCTCATTGTGTCTCGTTTAGTCTCTGTGTGTCTCTGTGTGTCTCTGTGTGTCTCTGTGTGTCTCTGTGTGTCTCTGTGTGTCTCTGTGTGTCTCTGTGTGTCTCTGGGTGTCTCTGGGTGTCTCTGTGTGTCTCTGTGTGTCTCTGTGTGTCTCTGTGTGTCTCTGTGTGTCTCTGTGTGTCTCTGTGTGTCTCTGTGTGTCTCTGTGTGTCTGTGGTGTCTTGTGTGTGTCTGTGTCTTGTGTGTGTCTCTGTAGGTCTCTGTGTGTCCTGGTGTGTCTGTGTGGTCTGTGTGTGTCTGTGTTGTGTCTGTGTGTGTCTGTG